TGATCCAAATTTGGCAAGATTACTTTTCTTGTCATGTTTACTCTTCACTAGTAATCCCATACGGTTTGGGATACAAGAAATGGACCCAATTTGATACGAAGAACTTTCTCAATACTGCCAAAAACCTACTACTCTCGATCCGTTCTCATTATGAAATATGCGAAACGGGACCTTTTTGCCATGCTTGCCAGGCTTGCTTTGCATAGGAACGATTTATATATAAGAGGGCTTTCAAAAACTGGCCCATCCCGTTCATATTCTTGCCTTCATCTAATTGTTAAGCCGAATTAGAGGCTACTGAGGGATTTTTGCGGTTAATTTCGAAAAAAGTCATTTTTTTCATGCGGAAAACTAAATTCCCAAAGTGCCGGTTCTTTTATAAGAATGTTTGTAGACATGTTCTAAGGCACCAATCGATTTGCAATAGGTGAATCTATACGGACAAGTATGCATAAATAGATTGAAAACATTGATTCGAGTCAAACGGGATGATTAGAAATGAATTTCATTTTTTTTTTTTTTTTGGATATAACATACATCCGCCAAGTGGTGTAGAGTAAAATATGCAATCGTATTATATAGCAATCAAACAAAAGAACAATGTAAGTTATTTCGTGAAAAGCTTTCCCTGAATAGCTTCAAAAACTTTGGGAGAAAAGCTATTAAAATTTTCCACAAAATACTTTTGGATCATTTTCACAACTTTATCAATTATAGCTTTATTGTCGTCTGCATCTGTTATATGTGATATTCTTTTCGCAAGGCAAAGAGATAAAGCGTTTTCTTTCTACGTCATTCTACGACAAGTTTTTCTTTCAAACTCTTATGGTTAAGGTTAAATCTTTTTTCTAAATTAATTCAGAACTCAAGGTTAATTGAACATGAATTGATTGTAAAATAGTTTATAAATAAAAAAAAAAAAAAAAAAAAATCTCATGAAATGATCTATGGAAAAACAAAAAAACAAAAAAAAACAATATTTATTATAGGTAAACTAATTTTATGTGTTAAATGTACGAGAAAATTTGTGTTGCCTCTGAACGGGCAATAAATTGCAGGGAATATCTGCGACGCCATCTAGTATAGCTTGCATGATAAGCACTCGTCGTAATGATAGAGAAATGAAACGCAATGAAAAACTCATGGAAATAGAAAATTATGGGGATAATCTCATGTATGAAAAATTTTACAAAAACAATTGAAAAAGAGAGTGAAAGCCAGCTTCCAGCTATATGAATGATGATGCTCCAAATTAATATCGTCTCATTCTAAAGGCGACATGTTACTTTATTTATTATTATTTTTTTTTTTTTATAGCGTATATAACATTAGGTAGCGATGAGTATCTTCTTCGTTGTGATAAATGATTTGAAAATTTTAATATTTTTTTTTTTTTTTAGCTTTTGATGAGCTTAGATTTGAACCTAAAAAGACGAACTAACTTGACCAGTTCTTGATGGAAGTTGAAAGTCACTCTTTTTTTCTCTTTTCGTTATAAAAAGTCCAGCAATGTTTAATAATCCTTGCACTGATCAAAGATATGATAGAAATTGTGCTAATTCTGTTCGTCAGTTTGTGTGTGCCAACGAATATAATCTAATTTATTAAAATGTTTGTTCTCTTTTGTACATTTGTCTCGTTAGAAACCCTGTCGCGTTTTCGCTTTTATTTTTATTATAATTTTTATAAAATTTTTTTTTAATTTTACCTAAGGGAAACAATAAATCAATATAATTTGAAAGGATCATAAGCTAAACAGACGGAGGAAACTTTTTACGTGCCTCTACACCCAAAACAAAGTAACGGCCGTAAGCCATGTTGTAATAACTACTTTCATGATGGTATAAAAAGTTGATTAATCCTTTTTTTTTTTAGTCACCTTTTGATTGTAATGATTTGATCGCTGATGGTGGAAACGTCTTACGACATTAGCAGAAGATAAAATGTGAAAATGAGAAATAATGTAGCTTTCGAAAGGATGAAGACAAAAATCAAAAATATGTAAATAGAAATGCAACTTTTCTCTGAAGTGCGGTAAATATCTTAAGTTAAGCACATTTTTCGGGACCGCAAGAGCATGAAATTACTGACAGAAATTCCGAGTGAAGCAAATAATGACATTTGACTGATAAAAATTATCAAACAATATGTACATAATGATCAAAATATCAGAATTATTGCCTGATGTATATATCTGAATATGATTTGATAGATGGCAAAGAAATTTTATGATGATTAAGCAGAGATTTTGTGCCTTTCTTGGCGAAATGTAAAAAAGAAAGAGAGTTATTTAAAACCTGAGAAAAGTTATAATACTGTTAACACAGGTTACTAAAAATGCAAAGCAGGATAGAAAAACGTGACAAGATTCGATGATAAAAATTGGTCTGATTCGAATGAGCTGTAGAATATTTATAGGTAATGATTGTTTATTTACTGTTTGATGTAACCGTTTAAAAGAAAATTAAGCATTTCATTACAACATCCAAACCAATCTACTTAAATGGGAAGCGTTTCTGTTCGGTTAAACCAACCTGAATAGGTTCGTGGCTTTAATGTATCATTGGAGTGAAAACGATCAATATTTATGTCGATAATACGAGTGCTAGGCAGACTATTACGTCTTTGTGGCAATCTATTAAATGTTGTACAAGGTCTAAAAGTTGTTTTAACTGCGGGACGTGATAAGGTTTCAGAGTAATCGGAGTAATAACCTTGATGAGTACTATCGGAGTTTAAATATGGACTGGAGCGCTTAGCATAACTTGGGATAGTTGAACGTTCATGGTAGACGGGTATATTTATATCCCTACCGACGGGTAGAGGATAAGGTGACTTCTTGTTAATTGTTCCTTTAAATTGTTGTTCTGCTGTCGGTAAAGTTGATGAAGATTTATTCCATTGGCTGGTCACAAATTTATGACCTTCACCCGGAAATAAAATACCGAATTCATAACCAAAATCATATTTAAAATAAATTAAACCAGTGTTGGGATCGACACATTTTGTACCTGAGTAATAAAGTAAGTAAATGGAAAAGGGTACAACAACAAAGACATACTTATTAAAATACTTTTATAAATTTATATTTTCGGATCAAGTTCAGTTAAGGGGCAAAAAAGAGCTTTCCAAAACAAGCCATTAAAACTTAAAATGATGCCATAATTGAAAAAAGAAATAAAATTGAAAATTGTTTGCACGATTTTCTTACTTACCGTATTGCGAAACTCTGGTTTCATCTCGATAGGCTTGTGGTCTGTTGTCACCCTCACTAGGAGCACGCTTGAAAATCGGTCTAAATGTGGGTGTTACCACTCTATGTTCGGGAGAAGTAGTCGGCCCATTTACGAAGGTTGTCTTTAGGGTTTTCGAACTGAACTTTTGCATGTCTTGTGAAATATCCTCCATAAATTTATGAGTTTTTTGCTTCAATGTTGAACCCATCGCTTTACCTTGCTTCTCGACCTGCGGTGGTATATAACCGTATTTGGGCGGTGAGCCCACCTTTAAATTCATATCATCACGCGAAAAGCTCTGTGATTGTTGTTCTTGTTGCTGTTGTTGTTGTTGTTGTCGATCTTGCTCGTATAAGGTACTACAATAGCGGTGATCGCTTGAACGCATCGAAGATTGCCGATTAAATGTTTGATGGCGACTTTGATTGGTTAGATTGCTGCTTCGTTCGTTACGTAATGCGTTTGCATCGACTTGAATTTTAGTCGGCATTTCAGGTCCTTTATCAAATTCCAAGGGTGAAAGAACACGCTCGTATGTGCGGGGCAAGCTGCAAGATCGCCCGGGTCGAGGCGGTTCAACGTGACGAAAACGTAATGGCCCCGATTCGCCCATCGGAGTCCACAAGGGAGCGATTTTAGCATTTTCTATCTCGTTTTCGTAATCGCTTTCACGAAACTCACCAGGCACAAATCTTGTAGGTGTGGCTGGGGGTGGCATCCGCTGTTGACGAACTGGTGTTATGCGTGGTGAAGGCGTAGGGCTATAAGGCAAAGTTTCCAAAGTGCGTTGATTTTTTTGATTATCAAAGTGTATGACTTTCTTGGTTTGTTGCATATTAACTACGCGTTCGCACGTTTCAGACGACTCCTTCATTTGCATTATATTCTGAGTTTCAGTAGCCATTTTAGCGAGATGCACAGGTGTGCCCGCTATAGCTTTGTAATACATAGTTGGTTGGGATTGAGGCTGGAACTGTGGCTGAGATTTGTATTCTCTTTGTGGTTGCTGCTGTTGGTTTTGCTGTTGCTGATGTTGTTGGGCCGAGGCCAGGTATTTAGCGGCAACCGGTTTTGGCTTGAAAACTTGTGGTGTTGGTTGTTGCTTCTGCGACTGATAATTACGTGTTTGTTGTTTCGACTCCGTTTTCATTTCGTGGTGCATTTCTTTCCGTATCGGTTCGAATTTTGGCTTCAGCGGTGTTGGTTCAAATTCCATTGGCGAAGGGGCCGCCATCGCTATCGGAGATTTGTAGCCATTGGATTTGGGTATCGTCATAGGTGGATAAACCACACGATAGCCCTTAATGTCAGATTCGGATTCATAATTGCGTGACACTGAACGGAAACGTTCATCGATTTCGCTGCTGTAATCACTAAATTCCGCAGGAGTCTTGCGTTGAGCTGGCACTGGAATCGGCGTTGTCGAGAGTGGAGCCTTAACCGGCCTAAATTGCGGCATTCCACCACCCGATGAAGCCGAAGACATTTGGTAAGATATATTCTTTGTCATTGAAGTGCATTTGTAATCCTAAAGAAAGTAGAGAAAACCAAAAGTTAGAAAGAAATTATTTAAAATATTTGAGATAACGAAACGAATGGATAAAGCTAGCAAAGCATTTAATGCAGCAAATGAAAAGGAAATTAAGTAAACATACTTGCATGCTTCTGAATATGCGGACGGAAAATACGATTATGTTAATAGAGAAGACACAAACCATTATATATAAGATACAAAAATTACTGAACTATCAATACTATATAGGCAAATAGGATGAATTTTAAATTTAAGCTTTAACGATTCCTGGCTTGTATCTCACTATTTTTGCTCAATAATATAAATATAAAATAATGTTCTTTTACGGAAACAGTGATGCATTATTAAAGAAAATATATTGTTAGGTTAGTTTCGATAATGAGTTATGATGAGTTTATCTTTTTACAGCAACATAATATCAACAAATCGTTGGATTTACTCATTTTAAAGGTTATGACAGAGTATAACTACGCTGACGGTATATGCAGTTTTCGAAATTTACACACATTTAAATAATTTATACAATACACATGGAACACTGAACAACAATCGAACCTTATCTTCGTGATGATATTTATTCTCACTGATGCTGCGCGATTCTTGCTTGTCTTGGCCGCCATTCACAAAGGATGGAAAATAAAGCGGCTGCTGTGTTGTCGTTCGAAATTTCTCCGAGAAAGCCGTAGGCTGACTCTCAGAGTTATTCGATTCATATAACGATTTTTTTTCCATAACGCTGGACTCCATTTTAATAAAACTAGACATTTCTTCGGTATCGGCTGCATATCCATTTGTTTTCAAAGTGGGCTGATAGGCCTTTTGTAAGGGAACACGAAAACAATTCTCATCTGATTCACTACCGCTATACTTCCAGCGATCACTTTCATAATCGCTTTCATAATATTCGCGTCTACCTATTTTGTTGGCCATCACTGGAGGTGGAGGCTTATAAAGAAAGCTTTTATTAAGCCCACTAGATGCACTCATTAATGTTGGCGCCGGCGTCAACGTAGGAACCGATAAAGGCAAAACTTTAGATGGACCGCTTTGTATAAGATTTTTTTCCAATGTCTTTTCCATAGTTTGTACTATCGATTGCCGTCGCTGCTCGGGTTCTGGAGCGAAACAAATCTCTGGTGGCGTTCCCGGCTTTAACTGAACATGATCTATAGGACTCTTCATTCTAGGTACGTCTCTGCTGCTAAAGGGTGCTAAGTTCGTAATTTGTTTTACTAAGAACGGAGCCCTTAGTTCCTTAGTAGGTGTGGATAGCTTAGGAACTTTAAAATCTGGTACTGATTGTTCTAAATCACTGGTACAACTTTCATAACCGCTAACATGGTTATTGGGTGTCCACAGTTTTTCCATAGCTAATGCTTCGGCAGAAGGCTTCGGGGAAGGTGAACGCGTATATCGTTGGCCTGGACTAGATAATGTATCAACTGACTTCATAATGCTTTGATTTGATTTGATTATACTGTCAGTTTCTTTGCCTAAACTCGCTGGAGCTGCAGGCGGCAAGATTGGTACTCCGCCCTTAGGTTTATCTTTTTCCTGCAGTTGATTTTCTTCCAACTTTTTAATTTTCTCGCTAATCATTTGCGGTCTGGTTGCGGTCTGTTCTGGTTTAGGGATATAACAGATTTCAGGTGGCGGACCTGGTATCAAATTAAGACTTTTGAAATCTTCTTCTAAATTTGTTTGCGGGTATTTAATGTCCGATGCCAGAAAGGCTTGTTTCACTTCGTACTTTTTATAGTTATTTTCCGAAGGCTTTTCTAAAATATCTTGATCGATTTTCTTGAAGTATTCAAAAGAAGTTGAAGTCTTCTCCTCATTGTTTGTTGATGTCATGGTGCTGTTAAGCTCAGCCTGATCAAATACTGATGACGTCGATGATGGTGTTGGCAATAAAGCGGATGGACAGGTAGGTTTAAATGGCTCTGGTGGTGGGATTGGTTTCTTGTGTGTGTTATCTGTGATGTCAAACACTGTCTGAGAGTGTTGTAAGTGATCAATTATATCCTGGTTATTAGTAGTTTTGATGGATGTTGGTAACAATTGGGTATGGGTGTTAACACTTTGTTCAGTGGGTGCCTTCGTTCGTTGTTGACCCACCTGGGGTAAATCGGTTATCGGTGATTTGTGCTCTAAGCGCACGGTTGCCTCAGTAGTGCAACGATGCTCAGTTGTAATCTTTGACTCAGATAAGCCATGCAAATCGGTCGCTGTGGTAACCTCAGAGTGATTGGTTTGGAACGACATGGGTTCTCTGGTGAAATCCTGTTGTTTAGGTGTTGACAAATACAAATTTTATGGACAATCACGTATGATGATTTGTTTCAGTGTAGGATAGTGTTGATTGAATATAAGTTTTTGTACACCGAAAATAAGCGTTTTTCATAATTACATTTCGGAATTCATTTTGAATAAGATTTTTTTATTTGAAAATCAGCACAAAAAAAAAAACAAAAAGAAAAGTTCGGGATACAATAAAATAGAATTTTAGGAAAACTTAAACAAAAAAAAAAACAAAAAATTGTCTTTACAAAATGCGTTTACTTGGGCTTTTTCTTTCTTAACTTTTCTATATAAAAATTTCAATTTTATTTGTTTAAAGCTATTTATCAAAATTGTAAACATGCAAACTTACTTCAGTTTTAAATTCGGTTGCAGTCTTATGGTCAATTGTTTTAGCAACCTCTTGAGCACGTTCTGTAGTTGGTTCCAAAATAGCGCAATCCGCGATACTTTTCGCTTCGCCACCAGCATTAGTTGCCTTAACCATATATTTACCGGAATCGCCGATTTGACCTGACAATTATTTAAAAACATTTATTTTCAAGAAATTTTCAAATATCGTTATGCCCTCTTTACCATTTTCTATTATTAACTTGTGCGAATTGCCTTGATTTAGGAGTCGATGAGATGATAAATTGGCTTCGCTTAGAGGTTTCTCATCTTTCATCCATACAACTGTAGGTTCAGGCAAACCGGTTACCTCCACTTCCATTATAATTTTTTCATCTTTCTTTACGACTTGAGCTTGAAGCCGTCTTCCGAATACAGGTGGGAAAATCGTTTCTAAATATCAATATAAATTAAATTTAATTTAATTTAATTTATTAGTAATCTTTTATTTTACGATAATCCATTGCATAAAGAACCGTATAACGAAAAAAAGAGATTTCTTTTTAGCTCATCTACTGTTAGCACACGATAAACATAAATACTGCTCTTTCTACCCAACTCACAATACACAATATCTCCAAATTCTTCTGATCACAAGTGCGCCCACACGTATAGGGAGGGAATGGTTAGTTACATTAAAAGGTGCGTACATATCCATTTTGTGGTTGCGAAAGTAAAGGTAAAGAGAAAAAAAGTTTTTCTCCAATATGTTCTTTGAACCTTATTTGTAGAATGCAATACATTCACCTGTAGTTTTACAGCGCCCAGAAAACGTAGGATAAAGCCCATATTGGGTTAAATGTTTTTGAAACAAAAAATTATTGTCTCTTTGGTGGCATGAAAACACATAGAATGATCCTAAAGGATTTTGATTTGTATAAAAATAATGTTTGTGTGTGATTGGTGTGGACTGAAAATATTACACATTTTAGAACATGGAAATGGCATTGCAGACACCTTCAATCGAGAAAGCTAGGATGAGAAATGATGACTGATTTGTGATGGCATAAAGTAGATGACTTCGAACTATGTAATTTTAACAACAACTTTGCATCACTGTCTATTTACTTCGTCTACATGAAAACTTCAACGACCTTGTAATCTCCATAACTGCCTATGTAAACGATATAACTCTAATGGACTTTTTACTTTCGGATTATGTTAGATCATTAGCATTGCCGGACTCCTTAATAAATCATCAACCCTCAGTGACCTTATTCACTAAGATTGCTTGTGTTAGTGGTGAATTAAGAGCAGATTGGAATAGTGGAACAATGGCCAGGAGAAGTACTGTCCCATGATTGAAATTTTACAGAAATCCAATTATAAATATAAAAGCCGTCAAACATATGAAATTATTTTTAAATAACAATGGCATGAACCAATATTCATATGTAAAATAATAGAAAATTCACGTTGATAGCTTTTTATTACAAATTAGAATGACACTTATTTGATAACTCTATATGCAATCTTTAGTGATTTTTTTTTTTTTCATTTGCTCGTATGCATCATACATATATATATGCATCTGTGGTGGGAGCAATTAAAAAATGAAAAGGTAATTATAGGTGTGTGAAACTAAATAGAGCTTTTACAATTGCGGGATTATATATATATATATATATTGCTTCCAAAACCAACACAGGGACAAATCAGTCCTGTTAGATATATAAGTTTTTGGGGCGGCCTTCATAAATGCAGAGACGACATCTTTTCAATTTGTTTCATTATTTTCATTTTTATACGCTTATACAAATGTGTGTATATGTGTAAATATCTAGAGAAAATTTCATTTAATTTGTTTGTTTGCAATACATTAACATTCTCCCACATACGACTTGACTATATGACTATGTTATATACAAACTATAAGCAAAAAAAAAAAAAAATTTATTCATCGAAAATGCTAAAAATAATCGCTATCGAATACCACAATATTCCAAATTGTGAACGAAATGATTAACAAAGTTTTTCCAATAGAGATTTGTTTTATCGTTAGAACTAAAACATAATCTTAAGTAAAAACAAAAAGAACAAAAAAAAAAGAAGCAATTAATAAACGCCTACAGAGTCAGTCTGCTTCCTTCATTTGTCTCTAATGTGAAATAATTTCTTCTTATTTTCTTTCTACAAATTTTTTTTTTTTTTTAATTTAAATATCAATAAATACTTCAATTAGCCAGAATTTCTCGCTAACAAGTATTAGATAATATACTTAAAGGACAACTGAGGAGATTGTTTGTCAATTTTATGCCATACAATTATTAAACTAATTAAAAGCATTTTGAAAAGATGTAGGAACGCTTATAGACCTCGCTGGATAATAGAATTAGTTAGTCATTGCTTTGAAGAGAATATAAACGATATGTTTAAATTAGATCGGTGGATCGGTGGTATTAAGATATGAAAAACTTGAGATTTTATTTTCATTTTCTATTCAATTTAGATAAAATCTTTAAATTACTATATGTTCAATATTGCACTTCTCATATGCGTCGATAACCTTGAAATATCTTTTAGTATAATGAAGAGCATTTTTTTGCTGCGTCTTTTATATATATATATGTACTTAAAGAAGTCGCTTTGTGCCTATGTTGCAATATTCTGATCTAATTTTCTTTGACATTTCAACTTGTCAAGGTCACTTCTCCTTTAAGCGGGCAGATCATATGCGTTTAATAAGGTTTGTAACTCTTTCTTTTTTTTTTTTTTACCGAATGCAGGCTACTATTTATTACATTTACTGGCGAGAATTTTCGTTTCTTATAATTATCCCAATAAGCGAAGCATTGACAGTTTGTATGAAAAGAATTCAAATCGACATCAATTCGAAATATAAAAGTGTCGTAAATGGATGAAATATTTCGTCTCTATACTAGAGAGTGTAATTGATCGCTTGAATTTTTTTATTGCACGGCATTAGGCTTTACATATGTAGACCGTAAAGGTACATTTGATGCAAATCGAAGTAATAGATGGATATATACGATGTGTTACTTCAACTATCCAGTGTAAAATGGGCAGATAATCGTTGATAATATTAAATGGCTTTGAAACGAAGTACAAACGATTAATGGTCTTAATGGAAAATTCTCCGCTTCGTTTATCTTAATCGTTTCATATTGTATGGGAAATGCTACAAATTCTGAGAAATATAATTTGGAATGTTTGTTATATACATACGCACAAACGCGACTGATTAGAAATGTGAAATTGAGTAAATAAACTAAAAGATCATTTTGCAACTACTGGTCAGGGACAAAGTATTTTAAATGCATAAACATTAAGATACATTTGTAAACATTTGTATGTATACTATGTGTAGAATACATATGTAGAAATGAAATTCAAAAGCATTTGAATATTTTGTATGGTTTTTTTTTTCTCTATTTTCTATTTTGTTTAAATCAAATTTGTGTTTTATTTTTTTTTTTTTTTTCTTTCAAAGCTGTTTAATTGCATACAGTTTAAATGTGATTTCATATAAGAAAGTATTCAGTTGTGAACACAACCTACAATTAACCAATGACGGCGACTAATACAACAGCAACAGAAACAACAATCGTAATAATGACAAAACTACATCTCATAATACAAAATTTTTGTTTAATGCTTTTTGACATTTATTCATGCATATATTCATATATGCATATAAATACATATGTATATATACATATATTCATATCTATAGCTGCATGTATATATATATATATATATTGTTTGTCGTACAATTTGGCAACCGTTTGACAAATGCATATCATGTCATTATATACATTTACGTTTATACATTATATGCATCTCATAGGCCTTTAAGGTATTCCTAGTATTGAATACTTTTTGTCGAAATGTTAAAAAAAAAAAATTGACGATAGCAACACAAAAAGCAAACATATATTTCTATGTACTTACTTTTAACTACCAAATCGGCAGTGCTTGTAGATTGACCCATTGCATTACTAGCTGTGACAGCATAGCGGCCCGCATCATTCACGTTCACTTGTTTTAATTCGATAGTAATACGATTGCATTTATTCGAAATTTTTAGGCGTTCATTATCAAATAACTCTTCACCATTTTTAATCACTTTTATATCCGGTGACGGAAAGCCATCATACAGAGCTTCCAAACTAACGTCCACACCTTGATCAACAATTTTACCCGTTAGCGGCGTAGTAAAACGTGGAGCAATTTCTTTGCGTGTACGAGTCGGTGAACTGGGTACAATAGCATTGCTCGCATCATTGCTGGCCGACTGAACTAAAACAAAAGATTTCTGCTGCATAGTGGGACTAGACATTTCTTTATCCTTATGCAACTCTTGGTATTTATGGGTTTCGATTATTTCGGGCCTTTGATTACCGAATTGCTTCAATGACTGATCGATATGCGTCGATGAGTGGTGAAGTTCGGTTTGGGGCATATTTCCCTCGAAGGATTGCACTTGCGAAGTAGAGGTAGAAGTGAAGGTTTGCTTCTTGAATGTAACCCTGGAAGACTCTGTGTTATCTTCTTGTGTCACGGTTTGTAGATTACTTTGAGCCGGCATGGCCTCCAGACCGGAACCGACCAAACCCAGGAACGCTACACATTCGGCTCGACCCACTTCATTTTCAGCTATACATGTTATCTTACCCACTGTTTCGGGTCCAGCATTTTGCACTGTCAACACTTGCCGCTCGCCGCTGGTGGAGACGAGGAAATTATGCCCATGTACCGGCTGATCATTAAAACACCAATGAACTTTTGGCGTAGGTTTACCTTTAACTATGCATTCAAATTTAACAACTTCTTCGAGATTAACCGTTTTATCGCTAAACACTTCTTTGAATTCGGGCCGGGTTAATTTTTCAACAATATCCACCTGCTGTGGCCTTTGACTTTCTGGAGCATTCACCGATTTTACTATTAAATGAGAAAAACATTTTGCATCTCCTGAACTATTTGAAACTTTCACAGTGTAAACGCCCTTATCGTCAGTGTTCACATTTTTTATAGTTAATCGGAAAACACCATTCGTACCGTTAGCTTCTATGTGCATACGTTCGTCTTCGCTTAGTTCCTTATTAGTTAAAAACCATTTGGCTTCCATAGGTTTGTCGCCACTAGTTATCACTTCCATTACTACCGTTTCTCCTTCATCCACTAGAACGTCACTTAAAAACTTTTCAAATTTCGGTTCCAATTCTTTGCTTTGTGATTGACGTTCAGTTTGAGCCCTGGTAGCTGGTTCAGCTATATTCAATGGGGTGACCTTGAGTTCACAGCTGCTCGATGCTTCACCCGCAGAATTTATAGCAACTACTTTATAATTGCCTGCATCTTCTTGATAAACCTCTTGTATAATTAATGAGCAACGGTCACCTTGAAACAAGAGTTGAATATCAACCGATTCTTTAACGGGCCGTTCATTATGATACCAAATAACTTCGGGCTCTGGTTGGCCAACAATTACACAATCCAAACGTACCGATTTACCCTCAAATATTGAAATGTCTTTCAAGGGCATTTGAACATTAGGCTTAATCGGTTCCATATCCGAAGCCATTTCCGAGTCGGAGGTTTCGTTTGGTAAACGTCCTTTAATAGTAACGTTACAAGAACTGTATACCTCACCAGCTAAATTTTTGGCAGTCAAAACGTATACTCCGGCGTCGTTTGGATAAGCTTGCGGGATTATGAGCGTTATGCGACCGTACTCATACTGAAATGAATAATTTTCGCAAAAAAAAAATATGAAAAATTTTGAAATTATTTTTACTTGGTGGTGAATATTATCTATCAGCACTGAGTGGTGAATACATACTCGCTCATTGTAGGCTGCATAAATATATTGTATATGAATTGGTGGTCTGGCAATTCACTATACGTTTCTGATTTTGTTTTTATTTATACGATTTTTTTTTTTTTTTTTTTTTTTTTTCATTATTTATTCTGCTTAATGTTTTCCAAAGAGATTTTTTTGTTTACTAAAAATCAATAAAATTAAGTTTATGAAAATCCGTCGACATCTCGCCCAGCGTACAAAGTATTTCTTTCAGTTTTAATTTTTTTGCATGTAATTGCTTTGAAATAGGGCTGAATTTCTTCGCAAATAATAAATCATTTTAGGTAATAAAATTTTTTTTAAAAGATATCCTAAACATAAAAAGCTTGTATATATATATATATATATATATATAAATATTTTTTTTGAACTTATCATTTTTTGTTTTCAAACTGCTATTAAAGAGAGTAGCGTAGTGGCATAATCGCCCAATTCATGCACAAAACGGAGCGTTGTCTTCTGCTATTTAGAGACTGTAAGTCGTTATATGTTTGTTATTTATTTATTTACATATAAAATATATTTTTGAAAAATTTTTCCCGCAATGTTTTTATAAAAATATTTTGGCTAAAGTCTTTGAATATTGAATCAAACAAAAAAAAAAAAAAAAAAAAAAAAAAATTAAAAAAACAAAAAATTTGGAAAGAAGCTCCATCCCAAGCAGATATATAAAAATCACAAGGTTTCTGTTTAGCTGATGGCCTCAAGGTCGATTGGCATTGTGTTTGCATACATCATATGTTTCTTAACTAAACTAAGAACACATTTTCGAAGTTTACACTATCTCCGTCAATTCCTACATTAATAAGAATAAAAATAATAAAGAACAATATCATGGACGGACGGCCAGAAGAGCGAAGTTAATCGAATCATAATTTTATATTGGTCACAAATACTTAACAGAGAGTCATTCATACATGTAGCTATCCAATATTTTACGTGCTTGACTACAACATAGAGCGTAGATCGTGTGTCATATGCATTTTAAATCATATTTTCATACAATTTGACAAGACCGATACATACCAATATCCATACATAGCCACTCTTTCTTATTCATCTGCGATATCTCTAATTATGAACAAACTTTTCAATCAACTTAATTGATTATCGTCATTAATTGGAACAAAGTGAAAGGAAAATTTGTAAATCAAAAAAAATTATTTCTAGATAAAATTTTCATTCCATAAAAAATGATTTCATTAAACGGATGAACAACATTAAATAAATGCTGCTATTCATCCTGATATGTGGTGTCTTCGATACGTATTTTTATGCATTAGAAATATCTAACAGATCTAATATGATCTAATAAATTATGGCAGAAGAGCCCTTTCCTTCGGACTGAATCGAAAACTATCTCATCTTAAATGAGATTTGTGCAACGAACCACATGTTAATAACTTATTACGATTTTTAAAAACCATTTTATATATACCAAGCTTAAAAAAGCATAATAATAGTTGCATTGGTAATTGTCTATTGTTTGTTAGCGGCACAATAAAACCAAAGTGTATATTATCATTCACACCTACGCACATACATGGGTGATTTTCTATCTGCTTTTGCTGATGTTCCGCCAGCGATAAAATTTTCAAACCATTAAAATTGAATTTACTGTGATGATCATGATAATGAGAGCGAAAGCCTACAGCCGCTTCTTAACCAAATTTTACTCGACGTTATGGCCAATTTTGCCTTGGTATGCATGCATGCATGCATTCAATATATTTGAAATTTTATAAATATTTATACATGAACGTGAATATATGTACATGTATATTATATACAAATACACACGCACACACACACACATATATATATATATATATATATATATTAAATTTCATATATTCATAATTTTCAAATTTCATTAACTTGACACAAATATTACATAGATGTCATTTATATGTACCATATATATGAACGGATGCATGAATGCAGATAACACGATCACTTTGCCATCTATTAAAAAATTTATTGTTAATGATCTAAGATGATAAAGCACTTGTTCGACTTGGATCATATTAATCACTTCTGGTTGCCTTGTCCCTGTTCAGATGGATAGTTGGGCAAGTCAATTAAACAAATAATAAATAAATTTATTAATTAATCTTTTTAATTGACGTCAATTGCGTGATCAATTTATTTTGGCTAAATTACATAACTTTATAGCGTATATGAAACTAAATAAGAAAATCGCTTACCTTCATTTCACGTGGCTTGTACGGTTTACCGTTGTGGAGCCAGCATATATCCGGTATTGGCAGTCCCCCAATTAAAGCTTCCAATTTAATTTTTTGACCAACACGAGCCATAACATTACTTAATGGTATTTTGAAGTGAGGAATTTCGGTTGGTTCTAGCGCTAAAAAATTTCAGGAAAGCATTTTTTTTTATGTATTATTTTCAACTCCTTTGATAAAACTTGCTTACGTTCTACTACTAAACTTGCTGAACAATGTTCTATGCCTGCGGTATTTGAAGCACTACACGTATAGATAGCATCATCTTCCAAGAAGACTTCCTCGAAACGTAACTTCGCTTCACCATTATTGTAACAGATAACATAGTCAGGAGAATCATCAATACACTTATCATTTTTGTACCATTGAACCGTGGGGAGAGGATTTCCTGTTACGGTACAGGCAAATTCAAAGGCGCTTCCCTCTTTGGCGCGACTGCTTTCTAGGAAACGTACTATGTGCGGCGGTATCATCTGGATGTTCGAAACATTTTCACGAACTGATAAATTAGCACTTGTTTCTCCTACGCCCACCATATTAGTAGCACGACATGTGTAATGCGCTGAATCAGCAGCAAAAGTTTCGTCGATTACTAGCCGGCATAAGCCTTTGTCGTACGTAGTTTTATAATCTGAGTTACCTTGTATCGAAACACCGTCTTTAAACCATTCAATAGTGGGTTCTGGTAGTCCGCTAACCGCACATTCAAAAATGAATTTTTCATTTTCATAAGCTATGGCCGGTTGTAGAGGTGCGACAAAAAGGGGCACTTCATACTTTAACGGAGTAAAAACCTCTACTTCTTTAGTTAAGCTTTGGAGTCGTTTCACTTCTTCGCGTTGACTTTGTTCACGTAAAGTTGCTAAACGTAATTCTTCTTCTCGCATTGCTTTTAAGCGAACCTCCTCTTCATGCCTTGCTTGTTCACGTAATTTTTGTAAACGAATTTCTTCTTCATGGATTGCTTGTGCACGTAGCCTTTGTATACGTAACTCCTCTTCATGTAAAGCTTTAAGGCGAATTTTTTCTTGTTCACGTGCGGCTTGTTCGCGAGCCAATTGTTCGCGTGCGGATTGCTCTCGAGCAGCCTGTAAGCGTGTTTCCTCTTCACGTAAAGCTCTTAAACGGGCAAGCTCCTCCTCTCGTGCGACTTGTTCACGAGCCGCCTGTTCTCGAGCCAATTGTTCACGGGCCAATTGTTCACGAGCTGCCTGTTCACGAGCAGCTTGCAAACGTTTTTCTTCTTCGCGTAAAGCTCTTAAGCGAGCAAGTTCCTCTTCACGGGCGAGTTGCTCACGAGCGATTTGTTCGCGTTCTGCTTGCTCACGAGCAGCTTGTAAGCGTGCTTCTTCCTCTCGTAAGGCTCTTAAGCGCGAGAGTTCCTCTTCGCGAGCCGCTTGTTCACGAGCCATTTGTTCGCGAGCCGCTTGCTCGCATGCAGCTTGTAATCGTTGTTGTTCTTCACGTAAAGCCTGCTCGCGGATCGCTTGCTCTTTCGCTGCTTTCTCTTGAGCAGCTCGAATACGCGCCTCCTCTTCGCGTAAATTTCTTAGATGTTTAAGTTCTTCTTCGCGTACAGCTTGCTCACGGGTTGCTTTCTCTCGTGCGATCAATAAGCGCTGCTCTTCTTCCCAAATCGCTTTTTCTCGAGCAGCTAACTCCCGTGCTAACCGTTCACGTTCGGCTTGTTCACGTGCTGACTGCTCTCTCAACGTTTGCAGACGTGCTTCCTCCTCCTGGGCAGCTCTCTCTCGGGCCTCAGCTTCGCGTTTCGCGCACTCTCTTTCAGCACGTTCCCGTGCCTCCTTCTCTTGTTGCTCTCTCATACGCTCTTCATTCTTTAATCGTTCTTGCACGACACTAATGTCTGATTTTAATTTGGCAAAATTTTGAAAAATGGTCATAACATCGTTATACAATTGAGAGACTTTGTTCATGTCATGCGGACACTTGGCAGCACTGTCCAATTTCTCGCGTAAAGGTTTTTCACGTTCGTTCACATATTTCTCGATATCATTAATTAAATTTTTCGCTTCTATTGAGTCCCTTAAATAAGTAATCTTATTCGAAACGCTATTGTAAAAATAACTGATCTCGTGATGTTCAGCGTCAATCTGAAAGCATTAATAACAAAATCAATCAATATAAGCAAATGAACAAAACAGATGGAAAAATGCAAATAATACCTTCTCGACCACTTCAAAGAATTCACTGGCTTGATTAAGTGCATTGCGTTTTTGTTTAACCTGATCTTTAAATTGTTGCCACTTCTCGGCGATCTTAATTAATTGTTCTCGGACATATGACTCACTTTCGGGGTTTGTAATTAATAACTGTTGTTTCGTATTCTCTGTGAACTTCTCGATACGTTTCTCAAGTAACTGTAAATTAAAGACATAATATCAATTTTAAAATTCATTTGTGCCATTAGACATATGCACGAAAAAAAAAACGCTTAACAGAATTTCAAATTTTTGATAAAATACAAAAAAAGAAAAAAAAAAAAAAAAGGAAAAGGAAAAAGCTCTGCCCACCAACTGTTTAAACTTCGAATCAATTAATTTGTTTGCATTAATTACTTTTTAAATAAAACATGAGCAAAAAGAAAATGAAGAGGAGCAATATTGAACAAAAAAAAATGTCTAATCACAAATGGCCAGCACAGCTGTTGCTGTCATTCAGAAATTTGCTTTAAAATGCAATGAAACTCATGTCACTGCCGAGATATGCTCGCGTAAATATTATTTCCTAACATATAAACGATTGTTGGATGCTGCAGTTTTAAAAAAACTTAATGTAAAAAAAAAAAAAAAAAAAAAAATTATTTATTTTTATTTAACATATATGCACAAAACATATAAACATCAGATATGTATATGCACGTCTTAAAACTATGTGAAGAATATGTGCTAACATGCAGTTCGAGTAAAAGATTTCTGTATCACATTATATCCTTTGTCCGTCTCATTGATCTTATTGTTGTTCTTATTGCTTGACTGATATATAAAAATAAATATGCTTTCACCGAAATTGAAAACCTAAGAATAATACTTTTTTTATTTTCAATTCGAAATATGTGAAGATATGTGCGCCCGTGTGCCTATATGCCTATGCTTTGCCTGAGACACAGTAATAAGTTGTTATCAGTTTCAACGAACAAACTGTAAAAAATGATCAGAAATTTACTAACAAATTCAATTTGCTATGATTATTGCATCAATGTTTTTAAAAAAATATTATTAAAAGTTTTTTTTTCATCTCATTGCAGATATGTGTGTATGTATGTATATATGTATATATGTATAATATGTATGTATTACACTTAAGTCGGTTATTGAAAAAGAAAGAAGGTAGAAAGTAACGAAATTTAGGCTAAAGTTTAATATAAAAACATTTCGCCTACGAATGTTACAATTCTTAGGGACTGGGACTCACTCTTGTGAAGTTAGAAAATTCTTCAAAAATTTTATTTTACAATTTCCTATATCTTGGAGTCGTGTCTCAGACTGATTAGATACACAGATGTTTGAAAGGAAATATTCACTCTTCCCATTCGAGGACTGCAGAAGTCACATGAAGATTTAGAAAACTTGCGCTAAAGCATGTATTAATATATACCTTAATAGTTATTGCCTGTAAATAGTTTATTTGAAATGATGTGTGAAATGCGCTACTACATATTGTCTCATCGCATAGTAAAAAGTCATAGCTACAACAATATGCTTAGTTTCTATTCGAAAAAATGAATTAAAATCATAATCTTCGCATTCAAAGAAGAAGAACACATTATTTTATGTACAAAATGTTGTAGGCTATGTACGACAAATCGAGACAATGAATATGGACATATGGTGCATATCTGTTCCATGCGCCCACGTAATTAAAAGAAAGATTTAAAAATTAAAAAAAAAAAAAAAAAAAGAAAAGAAAAACAGATTGAAAAACATTGAAAAATCACATACACATACATACGCGCACACACACACACACAAGCACACACACACACACACACACACAAGCACACACATAATAACGTGATTACTAAATTATACAAATATTATTATAATTACTAGGCTTTTTAAATACCTCCATTGCGTGCAGATAACAACCCCAACGTATTTCATGTTTAGTTGGCTTTAAAAAATTTGGCATTAAACTCTAAAGAGAGTTAAATACAATAGCGTTTTAATGAAAACAAAACAATACTTGTCTCATCTTTTCAATCATTTTCTCGCTTTTTTCATTGATTACTTACCTCGATGGTGCGTTCAAAATATTCGAAAGCCAATGAAGTCGTTTTAGCCGCCGCCAAGCTATCTATATTTTGATTATTTATTTCGCTCAATTGATGAGAAACGCTATCCAAGCTACGATTAATATCATTTAAATCATTTTTAAATTGTTCTAATCGTTCTAAACGTTCCAATGTCGACATTCTTTCACCGTTACAGGTCTCAAAATGTAAACGCAAATCTTCTAATAATTTCAATATACGATCGGTATCGATCTCTTTCGCTCCCGCTGGCTCTAATATGCGTACACGATCAATTAACAATTCCGATTGTGTGATCAGCGATCTAAATTTATCCATAGACAAATCACGAAACTTCTCATGCTCTGCGATACATCGTTCAATGGCTTCAGTGTGCGGCTGCTGTTGTTGCTGTTTTTGTTTAACAAAATATTCATCGATATCTTTGCGTAATTTTGCGACGTTATCCAAAAATTGCAAAACATTCTCCAGCAATGTTTTATAATCATAACGTATGCCATCCAATTTAGATTTTAATGTACGCAAATTACTAATGACTTGTTCGATTTTTTGCATAGACTCCGTATCCTTTGTATGTATAGCCAATGTAGTGTGAACACGTTCTTGTATCTCATTTTGCGCTTGATCAATATCTTTTAATACCAATTTCAATTTTTCAATAGAATGCGAGTGCAAATACTGGGCATCAACAGACGATGTTGTGAATATTGGATACAATTGCGTATCGACCTTAGTTGTTTTCAAAGTTGTCTAGAACGTAAAAAGCAAAAAAAAAAAAAAAAAAAAAAAATTATTTAAAATTCTAAAAGGAAGATTTTACTATAGAATTAATGTTGTCGTTATTGCTTCACTTCATAATTATATTAAAGATTTATTTATTTATTTATTAGCAATAATTATGATTTTATTTAATCTATCATCCGCCTGAGTGGCCGAGTAGTGGCCGCAAAGTATGCTGATTAACAATTCAATGGTCGTCGGTTCAAATCTCAAATGCGATAAAGTTTTTAAATAAAGCCGATAACTTTGGATGCTAGCGCTATTCAATCTCCATTTTCTATATCCACGGGTATGTACCCGTTTTTGTCAAAGGGTTTGCAACTCTCAGAAGGAAGCATCAGACACCGCCTCAATGTGTATATATTTTTGATCAGCATCAAATCCTAAATTGATTTAAGCATGTTTGTCTGTCCGTCTGTCCGTCTGTGTAAAGTCTGTCATAAACATTCTTTTCGCTGCAAACATGAATCTATTGAATTCCAATTTGACAGAAACATTGAAAGTTCTTGCACTCAGGTTGGTATTGAAAATGTGCCAGTATTACGTAAAGCGAAAATATCCCTTGAAAATGAATAATTAGTTGGTTTTTTAGATCATTATAAGAAATATTCTCTCGTTCGCAAAAAATGAAGATATCGGCTACGAATTTGCAACAGAATTTGGAAGTAAACTTCTCAAAGGATATGTCTACAACTATGACACGCCCGGGCGACTAAAGCTTTTATTTTGAAAATAGGAAAAAGATCAATCAACCCCGCCCACTACATATTGTTGAGAATGAAAATTTAGTTGATTTAATTTTTTTTTTTTTTTGATCCTTTCTAATATAACGGTGATGGGTATAAAAGTTTCGGTCACAGCCGAATATAATTTTCTTACTTTTTTACGATTATTTACGTCATTTACTTATTAGATGCACCATCGAAAATATGTGTTAGTTTCAGCGTGAAGCGTTTATTCAACAATTGTTTTTCTAAGATAACAATCAATCTTGAGAACGAAGGAAGGAATGATTTAAATAAGAAGAAAATATTACCTCCGTCTTATATTGAATCTTAGAATATTCACAATAACTTCCACACGATGTTTGCTTGCAAAATGAAGCCAAAATCCATTGACTCAACACATCGGACGCACGTCCCACAACACATATCACATACAGATTTTATTTAGAATTTAGTACTGTTTGTAGGTAATTATGCTAAGTAGATAGCATATATATAGCAAAATCGATTTGTTTGCTTATGCTTATCTAATAATAATGGATCAATGCTTTGACCGATTTTACCGACATTCAAATCCACGTTGACGACGGTAATAAGAGAGGATTTGAGATGAAGTTTGTGTTATTGTGATACAATTGTGAATTCATAATGATGACTTCAACAGATGGGCAGATAATGAGAGAAATGACAAAACTGATTTCGGTATTCATGCGCTTATCAAAAATGTTTATAAACTTTATGAAACTTAACCGACGTGCATTTTAATGCGTTGCAAATAATTCATAATTTTTTTGGAATATCTTCTGTGACGAGGATAGAAACAAACTGCATTTACTTACTTAACTTAACTTACAAGTTGAATATTGATGAAATAAATTCCTTATTATATTATAATTTTTTTCTTAATATTATGTTAAATTTGAATTCTTTTTAAATATATTTTTTATTTATTTATTTTTTTTTTTTTTTTTATACACACTTTTATTCATCTTTATGCTGTTACGCACATACCTCTTCGTTTTCACTCATGATCTTTTCCAGTATTATTTCAACTTCACGCTTTTCCGCTATATGCGTTGTCCAACTTTCTAAACTGGTTGTTACATCGATTTGTTGCTTACTAAAATCGTTGAGGATATCTTCGACAGCAATTGCTGAGGATTTCGTTTCAAGATATAGATCCAAAATCTAATGCGCAGTCGACGGATATTTATGCACAATGATCATCATTATCATTAGTATCGTCGTCAGTGTTTTCATCATTATCACGTTAATGTTGTTTATGCGTTGTCAGCCGCCAGTAAACGCGAAACACGACAGAAATAGAAAAGAAAAAATACGTAAAAAAAAAATTAGTTTTTTATTTGCGTTCCCTTCTTTCAATTTGTTTTTTTTTTTTTTTTTTTGTTCTCTAAAAAATAAAACCATTTTTCAATACCCGCACACACATATAGTGCAAATAAAAATTTTCAAGTTGGAAATTTTATGTTGCCAACATGTTATGCTTTTTAGGCGTACCGTTTCATCGGTGTCTGGTTAGTATAGCATTTGGTTTGTTTACGGGAATGGAAGAAGAAGTTTTGCTGCCTTTGTTTCCTCTTTGTTTTTTCCCTCTCTGTGTTTATATTTATTAGATTTTTATAGTCGTTACCTTAAATTTTGAAATGTACATTAAGTTAACCCGGAGATATGTGTGCGTTAGTCTTACCGCGAAATAAATAATAGAAAAACATCCGAAATAATTCCCTTATTATTATTATTATTTAAAATTTTTCTGAAGTTGATAGAGTGTAATGAACATGCAACGGCATGCTTAAATGAATGTTATTGAAAAGAATTGAAGGGATCTGTAGCGGCTTTGAAATATTGATGAGTATTAATCGAATGAACCCGATTAATCAGATAAAAAAGCTCGAGTAACCGGTTTTAACATAAACCGAGTACATGTCATTTAATGAATTTGGCGTTTTTTTCCAATCTTTTTATAAAATGTTGTTGTAGCAGCAATTTTCAGACTCACTGTAAATTCGTTTACGATGGTTGTAAGGAAAATATACAAAATTTTATAAATAATTGGGCCATCATATAAGCACTTAAATCCAAAAAAAAAAAATAAAAAATAAAAAAAATAAAAAAAAAATAAAACAATTTTTCTCCTCTTATTTTGCTTATAATGTTTCTTCTTAATTAGTATTAAATTTAGCAGGCTATTGGTTGCCATATCAGGCTCTTAGAAGAACACCCTATCTACGGGCAAAGCATTTGCATATAATTATGTACTATAATTATTCAAAATCCTGTACCTTGAAATTTTTGAGTAACCATTAAAATGTAAATGCACTTATCTGACCTTTTAATAATTCAGATAATTTTTCTACAATCATATACGATTTGATTTGCTAAGGGACTTTTATAAAATCCGTATTTCGTACATTTTTATTTAAGTTTAAAATATGTTCTCTCACTCATATTAATGTTATAACTTAATTGCTTCTCTAATGGCATTTCTTCATTTTCCTATAAACGGAAATTTAAGCAGCGGAATGCCCGTTCAGTTAGATCTTATCACTTATTGGTAAATATTTACCTTAAAGTTAGTCTGTCCGCTCGTCGCAATCGGAAACATTCACGAAAGAACAAAATGACCAAGTCAATGCGACTAAGTCTACGCCTAACAAAATATCTTTCACATCAAATAAATATTAATCGATAACAAAATCGATTACGTTTATTAATGCAAAATTTATATAAAACTTAAATAAATTTTTGAAATTAAAAAATTTTGCAATTTTGTAAACATCTTCGGAATCATCTGCTAACGCTACCTTTTTTAAAACCCTTTTATACGCCGTTTTTTTTTTGTTTGGTCTGTTTTCGATCAATTATCGGGAAAAGAAAGTAGCAACTGGTGTTAAAAAGTTCGACGTAAGGCATAAAATTCACGAGTTTACCCCTTTGCTTAATCAATGGCAGAGATAATGAAAAATTGCTGAACTCCCCCTCGTCATGTAAATATATTGAATATCAATCGGTCATCAAACGCTTTATGGCGGGAGAAGAGATTTGGATCTTCTGCGCATATGATCCGGAAAAAATCGGTCAATCGTGCAAAAGGTAAGGTAAGACCGGATAAAACGCGACAAAGTTGCTCTAAAATGGAAGTGATGCTAATAGTTTTCTTCGACTATCGTGACGTTGTACACAACTAATGCCTTCGGCCTGGCCCAGCCGTTAACAAGGACTATTGTCTGAGTGTTAAGCGTCGTTCGCGTGAAGCTATTCGCAAAACGAGACCGCAATTGTGGAAAGTTGACTCTTAATTGTTGCCTCACGGTAAAGCGCTATCTCACACTGTATCAGTTGTTCGATACAATTCCGTTAAAAACTGAAACCATATCGTTCTACAACTACGTGATATTCATCTGACTTAGACACATGTGACTTCTGGCTATTTCCTAAACTCAGAAGATCACTCCGCAGACAATATTTTGATCCGATTGAAGAATCGCAGAAAGGCCTTTAAAGGCCATTCCCGATATCGATTGTGATAACTTTTTCGAGAATTGGCAAAAACGTTGGTAGAAGTGTAGCGCAGCTGAGCGATGAAATAGATTTGGAATAATAAGTAGGATTAAAAAAAGGTAAAATGATGTTGCGGTAGGTTGATGAAGATAAATCGTGGCAGACAAATTAACAGCCAACCTTAGGTCGATACAAAAAGTGATACTGAATCGATCGGTATGATAAAATGTGCGTCTATATCCTTTTGCAAGTCTTTTTGGGTGTTGCATACATTCGCACAAACTTAATATACTTTTGTATCGCAAATGAATAGTAGGGTATAAACATGAATGATAGCAAATATGTTCTTGTATCGAAACATTTATAAAAATACAATTTTCATTTATTCCCTTTCTATGCCGTTTTTATAGTTGGACTGTTGGATTATGAAAATGCAATTAGAATCGCATGCAACGCGTTCATACGAACTGCGTTGATTTGAAAAACATTCCGAGAAATTTTATAGATCTGATAATCGGATATTTGAATGTTGGGAAATTTGAGTTCCAATCCCAAAGCACCAGGCCTATAGGATGAACAATTTTATAAAAGAAATATGAAATCATATATATATGATTACTAAATACCGTTAATGAATAGTTAAGCCGAGTGTTTAGCAGATAAGTTAAAAAAATAAGTTTAGCTTATATCGCCTATCGCTGAAACGATGTTTGGAAATGAAATTTTTCCTACAAAAATAATTATTCCACATGCAAGAAGAAAGACAGGCAGGCAGGCAGGCAGGCAGGCAGGCAGGCAGGCAGGCATTCAGTAAAAACTGTCGGTATTGCAAAATCATCTCAGGCTATAAACATATTATTGGCAAGATGTTGTACACATATGAGCATCTTATTACGAACCCCCCCCTCCCTTTCCTTTTTATAGTACAAAACAATGAAGAAACAATCTCTAATTTTAGAAAGAGTCTCTCCTCATCGGTTTGTTTTTAATTTTAGATAGAAAAGAAGTTGCTAAAGCAGTATTTCTTAACACCCCTTCGCTGCAAGTTTCGCTTCTTTTTTTTCGTAGAATTATTTCATTTATTTTTAACATATTAACACTTTAAGAGAAATATTTTTTTTTTATTCCGGTTCGCTTCTGTAACTTTAAAATATTCAGACATTTAGCTGGTGTTAAGAAAATAAATGACTTTAAAAGCGGGAAAAATTTCGTTTTCTTATGTTTTTTTTCAAAAAAAAAAAAAAAAACACCCCCTGCAAGTCGAGGAGAATAACAAGAACAATTAATTATTCACCAACTTTCCCTGCTTGCAATTGAAATCAAATGTTGTATTTTATGTTTTTTCCAAGCAATCGGGCAAATCATCTATAATGCGTTATAAGACAGTGGTGGTTGCGCAACAAGTAAATCAAGTAGTAAAATTCTTAATCACAAATGTTCCACTTGTCAATTAAATTAATGATGCATGAATACTCATAGACTTTGGCAATGACTTATCCCTTATATACTCGTCATAAAAATTGAATGTTAAAATTTGTTTTTACAACAACAATAACAATATTTACAATAGATATTTAATCGCAACATTTGAATATATACTCGCGATTTTGGCATATGCTTCTAGATAATAGAGGTAAAAATCAAATAAATAAAAATAAATTGCATGCGATAACATCTCACGATATATACTTTGAAGTGTTGCAGAATTCTTCTTTTCTTTTTTTTTTTGCGATCCATGATTTACTGATTTTTCTAAATGTGACTTCAGGCAGTCTTTTTCGCCTTGAGGAATTTTAAACTTGAAGATTTACTTACATGCTGTCATATCATAAAAGATCAAATATATTATTTTATTATTAAGTGTAATAATTAATCGTGGCAATAAGGCCAACTAGCTGAGTCCGTCTGAGTAGCCGAGTGAGTTAGAACGTAACTATCTATCAAAACTCAGTGTTCGCGGGTTCGATTCTCAAGTGCCAATTATAGAGATTCCTTTGGTAAATAGCAATAGTGTGAGTGCTTATCGAGTGGTGGTAGATCACCACTACCACCTCCCTATTTCTTTCTCTTTCCCTATCTTCCTTCTGACTGGTCATGTCAAAAAAAGAATCTAGGATTGAGTGATGAAAGCTTCTTTCTTCAATAAGCAAGAAAGTAGTGTGTGTTTGCGTTCTTCAATAATGTTTTCTGATTATTCATCAATTACTCTACCAAAAATTTATCTGCCGCGTTTGTCGCGTTTGCGAAGTCGTGGTCATTAAATAAAACTTTATCGCCAATTTTCTTTTTATTCGTCACATAATAACAGTCTTCATAACGGGAAAATTTGAATCAATTTATGCAATTCTCTAGCACTCGCGCGCCCTCAAGTAATACATAAAAGTACTAAATGTGTACGGGGAGGATATCGCGAATGTGCGTTGGCAAAAAGGTATTGAACGATTAAACGCTATTTTCCGGCACCGCGCGAATAGATTGTGCCAGACTGTATTTACAATTATATTGGACTCTATAATTGGGGCAATGTGCTGTACACTAACGATGAAGGTAATGATTTTTGAAAGGAGGAGTACTTGTACGCAATATCTTCCCTAATGTGTTTATGAGATATTTATTGCCTTGCAAATCTAGTTTTATTCTAGTTGGCAAGCAATTTCGGAAGCAGT